GAGACGCGGGCCTTGGAAAGGCCGAGCGGTGCCAGCCGGAGCACCGTTTCGCAGCTGGTTTGCGACCCAAAGGACGGACGCTGGTTGCTTCGACTTGCAGGTGAGTGGTACTGCTGAAGTTAGGCGAACTGTAACTGTGAGTTTCTGTGGCTTTCCAAGCAACTTTCAAAATATTGGTAACCGCAAACACGCGCTTGCTGTGTTGGGAGAAAAAAATCTGTGGCTTTTTCTGACTGGAGAGTTCATGAGCATCCAGTTTATGATCTGAGCAGCTCACTTGCGTAAGCTCCTGCAAATCTGACATGATTTACAGTGAGTTACGCAGCAGTAAGGGAAAGTAGAGCGTTGCAATAGAGATGTATTGCATTCACCTGAGGAAATACTTTGCTTTTAGGTGCTTGATAACGCCTCTCTGCACTTAACCAGAAGACTTGAAGTGTACGAGTCTACAGTAGTTCATGCGTGTTGGTTTGCTTTTTCTGACTTGTCAGTTGTCTTTTTGGAGTCCCTGCCGGTTTTATCATAATTGCTCCCAAATGCATGAATATTGCTTCTCTAGTAGGTGGGAACATACTTATAATATACTCTTTGGCATGAGCCAAGTCCAGTGAGCTATGTAATTCACTTGAGAGTTTAGCACTTCCAGTGGGCTGCCCCTCTGCAGAGGGCAGAGTGCACAGCATACGTAAGCAGGTGAGCAGCAACTCCACTGGCCTGTTAAAGACTTTACGGTTTAACATCTCTTCTGTTGAAGTCTTCGTCTTCTTGTTATCCAGAGGACGATATTTTTCTATCTCGGTATATGGTTGCACTGAAGCTTCTATGACCTAGATTTCTTTCAGATGTGAGTTCATTAGCTTGTTTGCATACAATGAAAAATGCAGCAATTATATTTATTTCCATGGTTTCATTTGTGGAGCAGAAGGGCTGGAGGGCACAGAAAGACTGGGGTATTGATTGTGCATTGATTATATTCGTACACGAAATGCACGCTTCAGAAGCAATGGCCTTACTTCCAAGTGGTTATGCCTTTTGTTGTGGTATTGTTTTTGTTCTTGGAAAAGGAAGCATCTGGTAGCGAAGTGAGTCTTTCCTTAAAAATAATACATTTGGGTCTAGGAACATGGTGCTATTACAGTCAAGAAAGCCAAAAGAAGTCTCTGTATTTCTGGGCTGAAGCACTGATGAGGAGGCAAGGAGCTCAGATGAATATTCTCCCTTTATGTGATGCTCAGGCACTCCGTTTTCTTAATATGCTTTCTCGTTTTTCTCTCTCTGCCTATTATAGCTTGTGGAAATAGTCTACCATCTGTTTATGTCCTATAAGTATTCTCCATTGAGTGAAGCGTGGTCTGGTCTTCTATTTACAATTCCTAAAAAAAAAAAAAAAAAAATTTTTTTTACTTGTTTGCATTGTTAAAGTTGACAGAGTAGGCTTTCTCACATCATTCTGTACTTGGTGTGAAGAGACCTTTTTTCTCTCTCTTTGCCTCTTAGGCACATTGAAGTTCCTGACTCTGGGTAAATGATATCGCTGTTTCATGTCAGTCCTTCAAAGATCAGCCAACCAAGGAGGCAGCCTTCTTAACGGAGTGAAGAGGCAAGTACCTCCCCGATGTACTTTTCATAAGCCCTAATTTAACTTCTTGGAGATGGAGGGAAATTTGAAAACAGCTGTTGTAAATAATTTGTTGCATTTAAAATGTCATTTAAGCTTTGTGTGTGTGAGCTTCATTGGTAACCAAACACAATTTTAGGTTGTTTGTTGACCATAAAAATATACCTTTGCTTTTTATTTTTCATGCATTTAGTCATTTTTCTTGTAAATAAAACTCTGGATTAGATCAGCTAGTGAAAAGGAGAATAACTATGTTGACATCAAAATAGCTGTGCTTGTTTGTACCAGTTGAAGATATGCCCCTGTATGGTCAAAATCAACATGTGTTTTGTTTTTAAGTAGAGGAGGAAGTGATACAGGATTACATAGATACAGGATTGAGTCATAGTCAGGAAATGCAAGCTTTGTTTTGTACTCTGGTCCTCACTTCTTGCATAACCTGCAGCAAGCATATAGTTTCCTTACACATTGTCTATAAATTGAGACCAATTCTTCCCCCTTTCATGTGGGTATTACTAAGTTTAATTCAGTGATGTATGGAATGGGGTAAGTACTTAAAGTTGTTATGCAGAGGGTCAGTCCTAATATGAAAATAAATACATTTTAAAGCTATAGGTCATCTCCTCAGCCAGGTTAAGTTGGAATGTTTTCATTAAATCCCTGAAGGCATTTGGGTTCATATAAACTGAAGGTTCTGATCCACAAATATTTCTTGAGAGGTCTTCTGTAGTTCAGCCTATGCAAGAATATTGAGTTCTACATATTGGAGATGATGTGAACTCTGGAAGGAATCTGTAAATGCTACTTATTAATGGTCTCTATTAATAGAAGGAAAAGAAGCCAGTGTTAAATTTTTCAGATTGGCAATGCATTTCAAGTTGAAGTAAATTTGATTCTGCTGGCTGCACGTAAATGAAACAGATCACCATCACTGCTACTCTTATTTTTTCTCCCCTTTGCTTTGATGGCACATTGCAAAGCTTGAACATAAGAATTATACACAGCTCCAGTATACTTCCTTTATTTAAAAAAAAAAAAAAAGATCTGTGTATGTATATTCTGAATGAAAGGGAGTAATAAAGCCAAGGAAACACCAATGTATGTGCAGGCTACTCAGCTTTGGTAAAATGGCTTTGAGTTGAATTCATATGTATTGTACTTTGACCATGTCACAACATGTAAAATGTTTCTTTTTTTTTTTTTTAACTGTGATGCTGGGTCATCCACTTCTTTTCTGCCCCACATTCATGCTGAGAGAGCTAATATTAAATGGAGAAGTGGATGAACACGGTCTCCAGTCAAATATTTCACTGTTCTTCAAGGATTTTTGTCCTTGTCAAATATTCCACAGCTTCTGTACATGGCTGAGCTATTCTTGCTAGATGTGTTCGGCTGAGGAAATTAGTTTTGGCCCATGCCATTTAGGCTTTTAAAAGAAAAAGCCTGAGGGGGGATTTTATTCAATAACCCTCTACACCCCTGCATAGTAATCAAGTGCTTTCAGTACAGCCCAAAATGGATTTGTGCAGCTGTGAAAGGTATTGGTTGATTTGCAAAGGACAGTCCAGCTCAGAGGCAGATTAAGAGTGGCACATCCCTTTAGTGCTAGGAGTGGAGAACTAGATGGAAAGTCTCTTCAGCACTTTTGATCTGGGGCCATGCCTTGTTCACACACGGCAGATAACTTTACAGTTCTATGGCGTTTTTGTCTGTCACACTTTTACCGATCTCAGGGCAACGGGTGCTACTTCATAATCTGGTAGAATAACATTTTTGTCTTGGAAGATGGATACCATTCAGCAGAGTGCTGAGTGTCAGGTTTAACAACGCTATATACTTATACAGGGTACCTTATCTATTTATATACTTCATGTTCTCTGTTGTTTCTTTATATTTTATCAGTCCACTTGGTTTCAGTCAACAAAGGATATCTGGATGACAGAGTAAGAGATATCATTTGCTTCACAAAAATGTGTCGGTTATTACTAGTACAAGCTACTGATACTGCAAATGTCAGAGTATTGAGAGTGAATGATGCAAGAAGGTGAATACACTCAGTTTTCATATAAACTGGTGGATTGTGTTAGCATGAGTCACTTGGCACTCCAGCTTTAGGATATCAATATTGGAATACATATAGCAAGAAGGTGCGGTCTCCAAGCATCTTGCCTGTAGGCAGACACTGGTATCAAATGAGGAAAGAATATGAAGGAGATTAAGGTGAAAGTTGCAAGTCTATACTGAGCAATAATGTAAGAGTATGTACTCTGTGATAATTGATGCTCCGGAAGGAAAAAAAAAAGTTAGATTCTCTTGGAGCTGATGAGAAACAATGAGCCTGGTTCTATTCCCCTGGTGAATATAAATTTATTTGCCCCCCTCTGTTCTTCATGTTTAGTCTATTTGCAACTCTCTCAGATACTTCGACAGAACTTCTATTACTTCTCTTCCATCTGTATATATTTTTATTTACAATATTCTCATTTTCCCTCCCTCCAGAATTGATGCAAATTTGCTTATTGCTGAAGTTTTTGCTATGTGTTGTTTTCTTTCCTTTGTAGAAGGGTAAGTTTGGATTAAAAGAAAGCTACACTTTTGTCTTTGTGCCTTCTCCTATTTTCTGTCATTTTGTTCTGCTAGACAAACTATCTTTGATTTAGTGGCGTTGGAGTATAAGTGCATAATAGATTATCTGTCACTGAACCAAATCAATCATGGTTAGCAGTGTATCGACAGAGTATACAGCAAGTATCCTTGACCTGAGGTTGAAAATACCTGTTATCAAGATCATGTAGTTCTTACTGCTGCTTGGCATAAACTTTGAGATACAGTATTCTTAATCAGCTTTTTTCTTCTCAAATATGCACTAGTTTTCTCTTTGAGCCTTTTCTCCATGACTAATATAAGCTTCCCTATTCATTTGTGAAGCGTAGAAGAATCCAATCAACCATGTCTCAGGATTTAAAAAAATAAGAGAAACTCCTATGCTTCAAATAGAAGCCAACCTTTAAATATTGAGGATACAATCAGATTTTCACTATGCTTAGGCTGCTCTTTCATTGCCCAGGTCAGGGTTTGTTACATATTTATCTGTGGCATCTAGTGCTGCATGTTGTTGAAGGGAGAATGTTGAATTGGTCTTGTCCATGATGGTGGTTCCTTTGCTCTTTTATTCTTTTTAAGCATTTGTGCTTAAGTTTCTTTTACACAGCCCTAGACATTTGTAGTAGAGTTCATCAGTGTTACAGCATGTGCATTGTATGGCATCAGTGCTGTAGCATTTTCTGTTGGGGCAGGAGTGTCTCTTCTCTCTTTAGTGGGGGTGTTTTGGTGTCTGCCTTGTGGTTCGCTACGGATGAGGGTGCTTAGCTACTTGCAAAAGCAGTGAGGAGGAGACAGGGTCAATGTGAACCATTGCTCTCAGTTGCAATGCCTGTTCACGATAATACTGTTGCTTATGTCTGAATTCAGAAATCAGAAGGGTAATTGTATTTGAGCATATGAACAGTCCAGCTGAATTTATTCTACTTAAGTTCAACATATGCTCAAATGTTGTGCTATAGTAGAAGCTTATTTGGCATCTGTATGTGCTTTCCAAAGATGAAACAGAGATGCAGAGTAAGTAAAATAATTACTACCAAGTGAGAAATACAAGACTTGGCGAAAAATTATTGATGTACTTTGCTACTTCAAGTAAAATGTCTTTTGTAATTTTCCAGGCAAGCTATGTCTTTGCTCTAATTTGGCTTGCAATTTATGGACAAATGAAAATGTGTTCTGCCGACAGACAGTGTAGCTAGACCTTCTTTATCTTTCTTATCAAAACACATATTGATGCAAGAATGAATCCTCCTCTTGTCCTGCATTTTTCACAATGTTAATGCTGAGGTTCAGTGAGTAGAAGAAACTTTAAGGAACTTCAGACACCATCAGATTAGTCCTTTTGCCAAAAACCTAATGAATGAATGAATTCAAAATAAAATATCACGATAAGTTCTAGTCAAGTGTAGAATAGCTGAACTGAAACCACAGATAGAGAAATTGCATTTTACCTGCTTAACATGGAATATTCTTCCCATGACAAGAAATTGAAGACACTTTTTTTTTTCAGTTATATTTGTAGTATCCTTTTGTTCCTCATGTCCAGACCAGTTGCACTGAAATAGGAACCTGGCTCTGTGTTGGATTTTATAACTCTGTAGCGAAGTTTCAGATGTCTAGGTGCCAGACCATCTCCATTTCAGAAAAAATGATTTTACAGCATACCTACTGTGTGCTTTGTGCACCAATCACACCTACAGTCACTGTATTCAGCACACAAGCGATGTATTTCTATGTCTTGCTTGGCTGAAGTCTGCAGGAATTCAGTTTACAAGAAAGTGTTTAAAAGTTTTTGTTAATGCATTTAATGCAGTTTTTGTTAGTGCATAGTATTCCACCTACCTGTTGCTACCAGCCCTGAAGGAGCCCAAACATGACAACGGTTCTGCGACATCCAGATAGTACATCACTGATTTCACGAGTAGATACGAAGGAGTTCAAGTGGAAAACGCTAATCATTCTTTACAGTCAATATGAAATAAATAAGCTGCTATTGGAGGGCAAAGAAATAACCTATTAAGAAATGCCATTGACCTTTGTTTTGTTATGGACTAAATAAGGAAGTCTTTATTTTTTAAATCTGTGTAAAGCAAAGATAGAACTGATGTAAAATGTGCAGATCAGAATTCACTACTTGCATTGATGTAACTGTATGGTTTTTATGCTCTCTTTAGGTAAAATGATTTATTATTGATATAAGTAAGGTAGATGCTAGGAAGGGATATTTTCTTTTAATTTTCTACCTTCACTGGATAGATATGTTTTATGTAATGTTCAAACAGCTTGTTCATCTCACTGTTACAAAGGTGAATCGGAGACTAGTTGAGTTTTCGAGAGAGAGGGAGATATGTGGATTTTTTATATAAATGAGGTAA